GCAGCAGGAAAAGTCGACTTCCTCCAGACTTGCAGTGTGTTTCTGGTTATCCGTTTCCACTTCCTCCAACTGGCAGTGTCGCTCATTCTCCACACTCCCTCTCTTTCCTTCCTGATATTAAGTGGTCTTCGCCGGTACCATTCTAGGAAGTCTTGTCTCCTTCTGGGCCAGCCGTGAGGAGCCCAAGTCTAATTAATGTCGCATTACATTAAGCTTCCACTGGATTATCTGAGAGGACTAACTCCGGAATCCAGTTTAATTTCTCAAGCCCAACAGTAGAGAATATAATAACAGTTGCAATAACTTCCGTCTGCTAAAGAATAAGTATGTGAGTGGGCAGTAGTCCTCATTTGAGATCCACTGTCAGACCCGCTGGACGTGGGGTTGAGTGGTGTGCTCCCACCCAGAATCCCAGATCTCATAACGTGCTGAGGATAGTAAAGGAGCAATATGGGAGGAAGACGAGGACGCGGAGGAGGAGGAGGAGGTGGAGGCAGAGAGAGAGAGAGAGAGAGAGAGCTGAGAAGATGCTGAGGCATTGCTGACGAACGACCCCAAAGGGGAAACGGAGAGAAACAAGGAAGAGGGGAGAAAGGAGAAAGAGGCGAGAGGACTTGGGATGCCCAGCAGCGAGCGCCAGGCTCTTTGCGACAAATAAGTCGCCGTTATTTTACTCGTCCAATTACAAATTAAAGGGTACCAAAAAAATGCGGTTCACTGTTTTAATGCCACTGCTTCATAACTTACTCGCCTAATGGACAGCTACATACCTGATCGCCGTTCTGTCCTCATCCCCCAACTTAAACAAGGTTCCCCACTACAATGACTGCACTGACTTAAGAGTCTGACTACAATGAATAGTATATGTCCAAATGGCACATTGACAAACTGGAAACAGAGTCTGACCACCCACTGCAGTAATTCAGTTCACACTTGCAAGAATCTTCTACATTCAGTTTAGTACTTGCAGAATCCTCTAAGTCGGAATCCTAAAATCTGAGATCGCTAGTTTGCTAGACAAACTCATCGCGAAGGCGGCGTTTGCAATGATCAGACTGTTCTCTAACCCAAACTTTAAGCCTTTAAGGAATGAAAAAACGTATTCTCTAAACTTAAGACTCGATTCACTTCTCACGTCACCGTGACTAAAAATTGCTGATCGGGTTTGATTCGGAAAAAAAAAAAAAAAAAAAAAAAAAAAAGACAAAATGCTGAACATAGTAGTTCTTCGGTAAGTATCATGCTGAGTACTAGTCAAAAAAATTGTGGCACCTTTTCAAAATACTAGACTAAGTAGGACGTAGCAGCTGGAAAACTTTCCATGTTAGCATTGTTAGGGTTCTGATGTGGGACTCTGGCCCCGTTTCCCGGCAGGCGTTGCTCCCAACCAACAATAGACCGGAGCGCCCGCCCCCCTAAGCCCCCTTATCTGCTATAGAAGGGTCTGCTCATATCATCTCCGAGAGCAGTACCCCCGGGTGTTTTCTTTGTTCGTTTTTTTAATGGCCAAAGCTTTAAAAAGAATGCTACTAGTACGTGTGCTAGAAGCTCATTAACTCAAAAAGCACCCGAGTTGAATGTCATCAACTACAAATAATAATTAGCTCTTTGAGCCAGCACCCCGTGATTCAAGCACCCGTGGCCAGTGCTTAGAACCAAGAACTAAGTAAAGGTGTAATAACAGGCTATCGGGGGCAGCCGCTCGCTGCCCGCCTGACACTTTCAAGTTTCAAGTACTACCGGTAGTCATTGCGCCAATCTACAAGCATTCGAAGCAGAGGACGCTGTGCACACTTTGGCACGACGCACGCGTGCACGCGTGCACAAACGCGCGCGCGCGCGCGAGCGAGCGAGACAGAGAGAGAGAGAGAGGGTTGTGGGCTTGCACCGGGCTACAGAACGTGGCGTTCGTGAAGGAAGAGAGGAAGTGGAATGAACGTGAAAGGACAGAAAAGGACACAACTTCAAACAAGAACAATGTGGAACGAAGATTTTAGACCTCCTCAGCAGCCTTGTCGCTGCTGTCGGGGAGATCAGTTTCAGGAGCGAGCTTCCTTTGCTGTTTCGGTGCAGAGGGAGAGGGAGGAGGAGCAAGGAGGACGTACTCGTAGAACAAGGCGGCAATGGCAGCCCCCAGCAGCGGGCCAATCCAGTAGATCCAGTGGTCGGCCCACTTGCCCGACCAGACAACGGCTCCGAAGGACCTCGCAGGGTTCATGGATGCCCCGGTGATTGGAACGGCGACCAGGTGGTTAGCAAGAATAGTGAGCCCGATCATCAACGGAGCGATGGCCGACGGGCCGCGAGGGTCCACAGCTGTGCCCCAAATCACAAACACCAAGATGAACGTGATGATAACCTCCGTCAAAAAGCCGGTTCCAACTTGGATGTATTCTTTAGGATGCTCCGCATATACACCTTCAGCCTGAATGGCTTTGTTTATGAGATGTGTTCCCAGACCACCCTGCAAAACAAAAACAAAAACAAAAACAAAAAAAGGCCAGACACGTACAAAAACCCAAGCCTTAGAGGTAACTGAACTATGGTGCAGTCACGAAAGCAGGTTTGAAAAGGCACTTTAGGCTCACTAGGCAGTTCCCACCCCTCCCCCCAAACCCAACATAAGGCACCCCTACGTGCCTCTACTGGACGTTCCCGAGGCCTAGCAGCTTAGCTTGTATATATATATGTATTTGACATTTTCAGACCTCTTGCCTGCTCAAATGCATTTTCAAACTCAAACTCAAAACCCCGTGACTGCGCCGCAATTTTCTCAAAAGAGAAACCTTGGGTCAGGGGGCATGAATTCTCTAGTCTGGTCACATACGTGGTCCTTTTTTGACTGTGGGGCTAGTAAGATCCCAGAGTCCCACTATCGATCACGCCACTGGAGGAGTCCCTGTAAATGCACAGGCTTTCCTGACAAGATATGACATTGTGTTCCCAGAGCACCCTGCAACAAAAGCCAGGCACGTACGAAAACAAACTGTTTCTTTTTTTTTTCTTCTTTTTTTTCAAATTGGACCATTCGTCGATTTATCCGTGTCATCCTGGCAAGAGGGGCATGCTAATTTTTTCATCCTTTGTATCGTTCCGATGTTTCTAGTCTAGTCACACCGGCGGTCCTTTTTTACTCTGGGCCTATGGTCCCAGAGTCCCTCTTTCGATCACGGCAGCTCTCGAATCCCAGGGCCTGTGGGCAAAGCCAGGTAACTCTCTAAGGAAACAGAGTCCATCTCTGTCTCTGGGCAGTTTGTTAGGTCTGCCCCGGCCCGCAGAAGATCAGCGTCTGCCGGACAATCGCAGGATAAGTTCATTTCATACAGAAGAGCGGCGTCCAAATACTACACACGGCCCGGAGGCGAGCGGCTCCGGTCTATTTGGCGGGGAGGTGATAAGAGCAGCCACAATCACAGAGGATAACCTGAACTTCCTTTTGTCATTGCAGCAAGGCATGATGTCTGGCACCATTCCCATGAACAGAAACAAGGAAAACAATTCTTTGTTTTTTGTTTTTTTTTGTTGTTGTTAAATTGTTAATATTACAAGGAAACACAAGTCTACAGCAGGTTAAACATGGGAGAGAAACTCCACTGCTGATGGGAGGGATTTTCAAAGGCCCGTGGCCCGTGGGACAATTTAACAGGTATTTCCTTTACGAGGTTTCGAGAAAGAGAGAACCCTTACCTCAGCTTTGTTGGGTGCGATGCCAGCGATGAGACCCGATCCAAAAATAGCACCAACAATTTGGGCCACCCAGTACATGATGGATCTCATCAAGCTGATTCTGCCAGTAAGCAGCATCCCAAAGGTGACGGCAGGATTGATATGGCCCCCAGACACGCCAGCTGTAGCGGCCACCATGATGCCGATGGCCAGCCCATGAGCCAAAGCTATGGCGACCAGCTTCGCGTTGAAGTCAACATCTCCTGTGGAGTTTCTGGAAAACCCTGCAGCATAGCATTGCACATTCAATTACCCCAGGCCCCCGATCCCCCGATCCCCATCCAACCATTACAACACCGGTCAGGCGAATAATAAAAGCGCACTCAGCTATAAACTTTGTCCTCTTGAGTCTCTGAAGAAACCTGCACCGTAAACACGTTCGAATTGTTCAATTGCCCCCCACAGTTGCACACCCACCATTGCAGCCCTGGTCAGGCAAAAACTCCAGTCTGCGATGCTCTTCGTCAATAATACTAAATAATTATTGAAATTAATTGAATGAATGAAAACAGAACCGACACGTCAGCGGAGGGTTTTTTTTTTTTTTTTTTTTTTACTTTGCTTGGTATTAAAAGGACAATAAGAGCAGAGGCCGGGGACCTCACAATTCGACCCGGATTGCTGAAAAACAGCTCCAGCAGCATCCTCTCTTCAAGTTGGGTATCAGACTGGAAAGAAGTTCCAGTGTCCTCAGAAGAAGAGAGAAACTGGCTGGAAACCAGGTCCACCGTCCTTTCCGAAAGGAAAAGGGAAAATACTTCTAGTAATTCTAGCATCAGCGGAGGGATTTGCGTGTTGGGACGATGACCATTACGCATCGAGAAATACATAAATACGACTGGTCCTGTCACTCCCCCGAGCAGGCCAAGGCTTTCTCTTTCAGGGGAGGGGGGGAGGAGGGAGGGGGAGGGAGGAAATCAACTCCGAAATAGGGATGAGCGAAGGGATAAGATCGCCCTCCGTTCAGAAGATGTGTGACATCGAATTCTTCTGGAGCGGCCGGATTGAAGATGTGTGACATCGAATTATTGCGGGGGCAGCCGGATCGAAAATGTGTGACATCGAATTCTTCCGGACCGGGCGGATCGAAGGATCCGTTCCGATGGCGGAAGATCCGGGGATCCATTCCCCCCGGTGCCCGCTTTTACCGCGTAAGGCACGAAAACGGACAAACGGATAATGCCCTGCACACACACATACACACCCTGCCCTACCGACGCACGTGCACACACACACACACACTCACACACTCATACACTCACACAATACACACAAACACTCACACTCACACACTCACTCTCGCACTCACACACACACACTCTCACAGTCACACACACACACACTCACACAGCCACCCAGATACACAGGGAAGGAGAGACTCACTGACTTCAAGCCAAGGACACTCTTGACAGTGAATAGTATTTTTATGACTAAAAGGGAAAATTTTAAGGCGAAACAAACGCCAACGCAGAGGGCAAGCCAATTTTGAATCATTTGACGTCGAGTCATGTGAATTTGTTGTCGCTGGGGAGGTCCTCAAGCTCTCACCTGAAACTATAACAGCACCGCAGGAGATGAAATTGAAGATGAGTAGTCCCATGAACTCTGCCAACGCAGCTCGAATGGCCGAGACATTCTTAAATTCATCCACCGATCCAACGTGGAAACAACGCTTTGCCGCCATAGCTTTTTTTGCTCTCTCTCTCTCTCTCTCTCTCTCTCTCTCTCTCTCTCTCTCTCTCTCTCTCTCTCACACACACACAGAAGAACCTCGTCCCTCTCACCGACGACAATTTCACTCTCTCTCCCTCCCACTGCTACAATCTGCACCCTATTGCTACAACAATTGCTTCAGCAGCAGGAGAGACGGAAAGAAGAAGGGGGAAAAAAAAAGAAAGAAAGGAGGAAGAAGAAGAATAAGAAGAAGATCGGGGTGATCAAACAGAGGATCAGATGCTGCTGGATCAGGAAAAAGTTCGTTCTGGACTACTACTACTACTACTACTTCTAGTACACTTACTACTACTACTACTACTTTTTAATGGTACTGCTAAATCGAAGTGGTCAGTCGAATTGCATGAGAGACACTTGTTTCTAGTACACTAGTACTACTATTGTTTCTACTTGGCGGACCTGGCAGTCACTCTCTCTCTCTCAGGACGACTCGGAGCGAAGAGGAGAACGATGGGGCACAGCACACTTGCACAATCGCGATGAGGGACTCCTTCTCTATTAAAAAACAGTCTACAGTGACCTTCCCCCACTCCTCTTAGACTAACAAAAGACAGTCTACGGTGACCTTCCCCCAGCCCTCCTCCCACTACCGCCGACGCTACACTGATGAGACTCCTCGTTGCTGCCGCCAAAGCTACACTGATGAGACTCCACGTTGTTACATTACAGTATATATATTATTTCTCGGCAATATGAGTCCTCGGGGTTGTGGCTCCAGTCTCTTCGCGTGGGGCAGCCGCACGCGCTGGAAAGCGTGAAACCAGCACCCAAATCGGCCGATCCGTGCTGGAGGTTGCGGGCTTCGCTGTGCTACTCACCACACGCACAGAAACGACCAAAACCATGCATTGGCGGTGTATCTTCACATGATCTAGCGGAAGATTCTTTCTCATTTTGTACAATCGGTGAGTAGCGGAGCTAGGCCCAAACTGTGACTGAGCGACTGAACAGCTGGGGACAAGCTGCTCGCAGTGAGCCAGCTCTGCACAAGCGCGGGAGGATGGTTGCGTGCACCGCCAGTTCTGGCGGGAACTTCCCTCGCAGCTGGCTGCAACTTTGAACACAGAAAAGCGCGTCTGTAATCTTTTTTTATTTATTTTTATTTTATTTTATTTTATTTTATTTTATTTTAAAAGGGCGACGGCCTTGAGATATTATCACTGAGATGACCGCCCCCAAGCAATTCATTAGTAGTTGGTTTTACTCGTCACGTTCCATCATCTGGATTCGAACACAGGTCTGTATTTCAACAGTTCCTGGGTGTACCCACTGAGCTAGGCTCTCGGGTGTCTGTAATCTTTCCCGCCATGTC